CGGCTCCCTGTCTATGCGGCACAGGTACTTGCCGAAGCAGCCGTGCCCCGACAGCACCTGCGTCACCCTAAACGACAGGGAGCCGTGCCTTCTCCCGAGCCAGTCGTCGAGTACTGGCCGGATCGCCTCGACGGTAGCGAGGCCGGCGGTAGGGCGCAGAAGCCTTTGCCGCCATTCCGCCGCCAAGACCTGACGGAGCTCCTCTCGGCGCAGCGCGATATGCCGCTGCACCGGCCTCGAGCCACGTGCCCGCTCTTCCTCGCGCCATCGGTATAATGACGCGAGTACTTTCGCCTCCAGGTCCCAGGGCGGGGATCCGGCCAGGACGCAAGCCGCCTCGTAGGAAATCGTGCGATACCCGCGGACGACTCTGACGGCCATCGCCCTCTGCGGTTTGCGCAGAATGGCGAGAGTGCTGGCCGTCATGTCCAACGCCCACACAGGGGCCCCATACAGGGCCATGGACCGCACGATTCCCACGTACAACCGCCTACAGGCGGCGCTCGGGCCCCCCAAGTTGGGAAGCAACGTTGAAAGCGCGCCCGCTGCACCCATCAGCTTGGGCGCCAGCCGCCGGATGTGGGGCCCGAATTCCCATCGGCTGTCGAGCACCAATCCCAGATACTTCATGGTGGACTCGACAGCTATCCGGGCCCCGCTGACCACGATGTGTGATCCCGGCGCCGGCGCACGTCGGGGGCCATGAAACACCATGGCCTCCGACTTGTTTAGGACCACCTCCAGGCCCAGGCGCCGGATGCGGTTCACCACCTGTGACACCGCAGCCGTGGCTATCAACGTCGCCTCCCTGTGCGAGCTCCCCCGGGCAGTAACAAGCGTGTCGTCCGCATAACACGTCAAGTCGGCGCCCGACGGGAGCTCGCCTCTCAGCACCCAGTCGTAGCCGATGTTCCACAGGAGCGGTCCCAAGACCGATCCCTGCGGAACACCGCACGACATGAGGTGCCGACCAGCACCGTCACGTCCCCGATAGGTGACGCATCTACCCTCCAGATATGTAGCACCGTTCCTTGCCTCAACTTCACAACACCTACATTTGAACATTTTACTACGATATAGAGAACTTTGAGAAACGCAGCCGAGTAACACGCTACAACGGAGTGTAAGTACACGAGTGATCGGTTCACTGTCTACCGACAAACTGTAGGCGTCGCTGGAGAACAGCAAAATTCGCGGCGGGATGCGGAGATGGAACTCCAATCCACACTCCGCATCCTACAGGCGAACTTGGGTCACGGTGCCGTTGCTCAGGATCTTGTGCTCCAAAGCATGGCACAGAGGGCCATCAACATCGCCGCTGTCGCTGAGCAATATGTTCATCGGTTTCTCGGGACTACCTGGGAAATCGACTTGGATGGATCGGCGGCGATAGTGCATGCGATAGGCATCACGGAACCCTCTCACACCGGTTGATCACCGGGAAAGGATGCTTCGGAGATCACCTGTGTCTGATCCGCAAGAAGCCAACGCCTGAGTGGCACCACTGCGATGGCTGAACCGTCCACACAGCGCTCCACACGCTGGCAGATTGCCCGGCGTTGGTAGAGCAGAGGCGTTGCGTCGTGATGGCCATCGGGGTGGGAGTTCTCTCGCTCGACCGTTGATAATACAATAATTTAAGGAGTTTGTCTGATTATTACCATTAGGCCCGTGTGTCTCGTACTATATGGTCGATCTATGCTAATTGCAACGCACCGGTGAACCTGTTCAGTGAGTCAGTGTATCTCAAACATTTTCTATTGTGTCGTTGTAGTTGGCCCTTTTTTATTATGAATTATAAATGTGGAGCCTGTGCCAAATTGTTGACAGATGGAGTTTATTGCACGGTCTGCAAGCAGCAGCTGCACTTCCAGTGTGATGGCATTACTGAAGCTGGATATAGAAAATTGGGAGACCGAAATCTTACGTGGCGCTGTGGGAAATGTAAGCAAACAACTCCCACCCAGCCGCTGTCGCCCAGAATCGAGCCTGAGTCACTAATTTTAAAAGAACTAAGGGCCATCAATGATAAATTGGCACCCCTTGAATGTTTAAAGGATGAAGTTGTTGCCTTAAGAAATGAGTTTGAGTAATTGAAAGGCTCTTTTAACGATACCAATAAGGAACTAAGGGAATTTAGTGCCAGATTTACAGACATTGAACATCGCTTGTTACAAGTTGAGAAGGCCCAAAAGCAGGTTGACTCTATACAGAATAGACTCGATAAATTGGAAGATGAAACTAATGCTGGTGAGCAATGGGCTCGGATGAATAATATTGAAATCAAAGGAGTTCCTCAAGTGAGCAATGAAAATTTATTTGAAATCCTGTCTAGTCTTGGTTCGCAGATAAGCTAAACTGTTAATAAAACATAAAATTAATTTTTTAACAAGAGTACCGACACGTGAGAAGGATCGTGCGAAACCCATCATTGTATGCTTCTGTAATCGATACGTGAAGGAAGACTTTATTGCAGCGGCGAGGTTAACAATGAAGAGTAGGCCATTAACAGTGGGCCGCGTGGGATTGTCTGACGGTCATAAAATATATGTTAATGATCACCTAACAACGCAAAATAAACTTCTTTTGTCAAAAACAAAGAAGGCGGCCACTGAGAGGGGTGTTCGTTACGTCTGGGTCAAGCATGGAAAAATACACGCAAGGAAAAACGACACGTCACCCGTCATTGTAGTGAAATCCGAATTAGACTTAGCAAAAATTATGTGATGAGATGTCTTTTATACTACATCACGTTATTAATTGTTTGTTCTACAAATGATATTAATATGCGAAACTTAAAGTTTGAGATCTATTGGTCGTTGTCGAGTTGTACTGCTTGCGTTTTCCAACTGTGTCTGTCTCAGTGTACAATGTGGTATTATAATTTTATAAACATATTTTATTTACTGCCTCAGCATGCCAAGCAAAAACCAGCGTTGTGGTTAGCTTCGTAGCGTATAACACTCTGTGTAGCATTATGTCTCTTATGACTACATGCTACCCTACCGTATTAGATAAGCATTCCATAGTTCTTATTCATGGATCATTGGCGGGGTATATTCGGAGCGATGTTGCTGGCGTACTCTGTGTTTTACTGTGTCTTTTGAAAAATACTTATATCTTTTTACTATCTACCGTCTGTAGTGTAATTAATTGTTATAATAATATTTTAAATTCGTTTTTATGGTTATTATTATTGCGTCATGAAATAGTTTGTGGCTATGTAGTTATAGTTAAATGCAGGAATGTCTAAGCTTAATATACACTATCAAAATGTTCGTGGCCTACGTACCAAAACACATAGCTTGTTACGAATGTTTCGTAACAAGCTATGTGTTTTGGTATCACTGAATTCTTACGATGTAATAGTTTTTGTGGAGACTTGGTTAATGGACAGTGTTTGTAGTGATGAATTGTTCGAAAAGCGTTATTTAGTGTGGAGACGCGATCGCGACTATTGTCATACGGGTCAGAAAAGGGGGGGTGGAGTGTTAATTGCAGTTCGGAAAGATCTAACCGTTACGGAAAAGTGTGAATGGCGTAGCTCTGCGGAAGATCTGTGGATAACAATTGTTTTGAAAAGATCTAGACCTTCAATGACATATAACGTGCATATTTCTGCTCTTTACCTTTGCCACGAGAACTCAGGTAATTCTTATAATACTCAATTACAAAACTTTATCTCTAAACTTGACCATTTAATGATGTCCCATTTATTAGACAAATTTATTGTATTGGGTGATTTTAATTTTGGTAATCAAGTGAGCTGGAACTTTGAAAATGCAATGCATGTGATAGTCTAGTACCGTCGAATTATACTTGTCAATACATACCGTGAAACTTGCTGACTTTGCCACTTTTTTGGGTCTAAAAAATTTTGACTCGACTTTTTTATTAAAAAATATAAGAAGATGCTAAGAGTTACTTATTTCTAAATATATTTTATCAAGTGCAAATTCTTACTATTATTAAAAAAATCCTTCATTTAAATCATTTTCATTATTAAGAGCCTGAAGAAAAATGTGGCAAAGTCTATGATCACTTCTGCTAAGATTGCCAGACGAAAATAAAATAACATTTAATAGGAATTACATTCGAACAAAAATATATAGCAGGACCTGGCCTCTATCCATCAATATGAAAATAATATAATCCTATTATTTAGCACTGGTAATATTTTTTCTAAGAAAGTGGCAAATTCACCAAACTTTTCAAAATTCTTCATACAAAAAGGAGAAAGATGTTAGGGTTGACAAATGTTTTCGTAGTTTTTATGAACTTGAAATCTTTAAGATAGTGATTCCTTGGTGGGTATAAAAGTACATAAATGCAATTTACAAGCGCAGAAGTCTTCCTACAGAAACTTAAGGATATTGTTTGGAGCGCGTCAATGCACTGACTAACATTTAGATTTCAGTAGTATTTCAAATTCTTGTATTTTGCATTTATGTGTTGCGTTCATAGGCACCACGAAAGAATAAAACGTGTTTATTGCGGGTTGCATATCAGTTTAATTAATTAATACAATCCTAAAATACAGTGCAAGTCTTACAACAACAGTAGCTTAGGAAATTATAGCAAGATTAAATAGATGATTATTCAAGATGTTTCCTGGCACTAAAGTATATTGCACTTATACCTATATCTTTAAACAAAAATGAAATATTTATAATATATTAATTAAGTAAAGAATTAATATAAAAATCTTTTCTTCGGCTATAAAGAAGAATTACGCTGAATTGGTATCGGCAAGAAATAATTTTAGATTTCTAGGACTCCTTAAGTACACTCAAAGATATTTAAGTTATGTAAAAGCAAAACCAGCAACATCCACCTGATTTTTTTTCATGAGAATTTGAAAAAATCGTGAATACGTAATTACGAATAATTTATGATAACAAGTTGAACAATGGTTCAATGTTCCACTATGTTAGTTTGAACTTACTGTTTAATTCCGAGCCATCAGAATGTCCTTACGAATATTGCTTCTATATACTCATTTATTGGACATTGTACTTTGAGTAATCAATATCCTCAAACTTAAATGTTCCCCGGCGACCCTCTCGGGGGTTTGTTAAGACCAACTCCACATCGGATTCCAGAATAAAACTAGCATCATTCACGTCAGGCCAATAAAAAAGGTCCGCCTTCCTTCTTCTCATAAATTTAACCAGCATTCCCGAATTTTCCGTTAACTCTAAAATCTGCCCAACATAAAACTTATTCGTTTTATGTCCTCTAAATCTAACGAGAAGGAAACTGTTAATTTGTTTCTCTACCATATTTCTTGAAGAACTTTGTGTTGTTTTTTCTAAATTATGGGTTTCTAATTCCTCTACTGTATCGCTTTCTTCTAATGTAGGAATTAAAGTTCCATCATCAGAAGACTCTCTTAATGAATACTCATCATCACTGCCCACATCAGTCTCTTCTTCTAATAATCTTTTTTTAATATGAGTAATTTTTTTAGCAAGCTTTCTCTTTCTGATATTAGATAAAGTCAAATCAACTCTCCCCGTGGAAGTAGATGCTACTGGGTTTACCGGGTTGTAATGGTCAAATAATATTAAATCATTTTCTGGTTTGAAATGAGACCGTTTCGGTGTGTGTGATAATGATGAATATATATCGTGAGTTTTATCTATTACATGCAATTGCAAATTACTTTTTTTCAAATCAGTGTAAGCACGATTATATGGACTGAATTTTATTTCAGATAAAATACATAGTTCCTTTTTCTCCACCTGACTTAGATGTAGAGTCGAGTTCTGGTATTTGATTCATAATAGGTTCTGGTGAAGGTACTGCGTTTTGAAATTCGCATTCTAATCCAGATGTATGGTTCAGAGCCTCAGCCTTCAGTTTCTTTATGAGACCTTTTTTATTTAATTTTCTTTCTTTCATTGGTTTCTTTGACATCAAGTTTTCTATTTCTTCAGAAGAAACTGATGCACCGGGTTCCACAATACTGACTTTTTTGTTTATAGTTTTCTTAAGAGGATTTACAGACCGGTTAGCTTTTAGATAATCCAAAAGAGCGGTGTCTACTTTATATTCCTTATACACAACAACATACAAGCAACAACAACAATATACAAGCTTATAGTTAACACAAAAAAGACAAACCTAATCTTATTTAAATCGACAGCTAGTAATAACGATAGATTAGACGTTATGATTAATGGAGAGAGATTAGAATTCGTGAATTCTGTTAAATTCTTGGGGGTTCATATTGATGCATTGCTCAATTGGAAAGAAGAGATAAAATCTATTGACACCTCAATCTCTTCAGCATGCTATGCAATTAGGAGCCTTCGAGAAGTAGTAGAAATAAATATCCTAAAATCCGTTTACCATGCGCTAATAGAGTCAAAGTTCAGGTATAGTATACAACTGTGGGGAAATAGTTACGCTTATAATATAGAGAGGGCGTTCATTTTACAAAAAAGAGCTATAAGAACTATAGTCCGCATTCCCCAAATAGAATCATGTCGAGAACATTTTAAAAGTCTTGGACTATTGACGGTGCCTTGTTTGTATATATTGACAACATTGTGTTACTTATCCAAATATATGCACGAGGTTGAAACCCACGAAGAGAGGTTAGTTAGAGAGAGCACGCGGAGGAAACATATTCAACATACAATAAACCCTAGAATGAATATAGCTCGGCACTGTGTTCAGTATCAATCCATTAAACTTTTTAACTGTTTACCGGAAAGCATAAAAAGCGTAATTTATAGGACTTCTTTATTTAAAAAAAAACTTGGAGCCTTCCTGTTGGAAAATAACTATTATTCCATCAATGAATTTATCAATCAAAATATATGCAATTAAATACTTAATAACTTATGTAATAATAATAAATATTGTGAATAATATTCTTGAATCATGAAATGCCTTAATATAATTTATCGTTTTTTTTTTTGTATTCTGCATGACATATTGTAAAATCTATCAAATTTATTTGTTTTTTGATTATTATGTTATTTATATTTTTGTTTTAATTTTTAAATATTTTTTGTATTACGGCGAATTGTTATACATTCAAACACAATTATATTATTGTTTGTGAATAAATGAACTATGAACTATTTATTTTCTTCATCACATTCAGGAAGCTTCCTTAAAATTTTTTCAGGGTTAAAAGGGACTATCCCTGTAGCCTTAAACCCAGAAATTATATTTTCCTTGCTTGTCACGTTTATTGCATCTATGAGAGATTTAAGCAATAATGGGAAATGAGTTTTATTTAACTGACTTTCTGATGGATTTTCATATTTGTAGGTAGTTAAAATCTGACGCCATTTTTTTTTAAGTGGACCAAAAAATGCGACATCTAAAGGTTGTGTAACGTGCGTAGAATTAGGAGGCAGAAATGTAAACCTTATATTTTTTTCTTCACATAGGCGTAATATATTCACGCTTAAATGGCTAGAAAGGTTATCACCAATAACCACTTTGGGGCCTTGTAGCTTTTCAGCCCAAGGTATAACGATTGTCTGAAACCAATCTTCAAAAACAGTGGAATCGAACCAGCCGGATTTAGTTCGATTATATCTGCTACCGTTTGGTCCATTTTGACACCATGACGTCCACAAATGCTCTGCTTTATAAACAGTATAAGTTGGCAAGAGTATTCCATCTGCTGCCGCTGCAAACATAATCGATATACTACCCTTGGTGTGATTGAGAACTCTTTCAGGATATTTTATTTCGCGCTTAAAAATGCATTTTGACGATCCGGGATTATCTGAAAGATTTGTTTCATCGTAATTTAATATATTACTTGCAGGTATGTCTTTTAAGGTATCTTTTAGATTTGCGAAATAAATAGTAAATTCATCGACAGTTTTTGCAGCGCGAACTTTTTTGATATTTTGTGCCGCTCGGGTTGTTAGTTTATCCTTATGGCGAGCCAGAAAATTACTTATCCACCATTTACCTGGCGGTTTGTTATTAAAAATGTGTTGTTTATTGTTTCCTTTCAAGTAATTAAATACAACAAAACTTAAATCTAATCGTGAGAGGGGAGCGCCAAAATCACCTGCTGCTATTAAAACATTTACTATCTGTTTTTCTTCAGAATAGGTAAGTCTTTGTTGGCCCCCTGGCTTTTTATTATGTTTATTTTTTACTTTATTTTCAATAGTTCGCCGTGGTATGTGAAATCGTTTTGAGGCTTCCAGGGACGAAATTTTTTTACTTTTGACTAGGTCTACGGCAACTTCTAACATTTCGGTAGAATAATTTTTGTATGTGGACCGATGTGTTAAACTGAAATCTTCCATGTTCTAAAATAATAAAAACAAATATATGAATTTTAGGCTTGATTGTGTTATAATTATGAATAATAATTGTGTACGCGATCCGCGTATATTGCACTTTCAGTGAGGCACGTACATAATTGGCAAAATAAATTAAAATAGGTATGCCAAAGGAGACAAAGACAAATAACAAGTTAAAAGTACAAAGGTGCGATATGTTTTGGTATAGTTCGTCTAAGAAATTGAAGATTTTAATTCTGAATTAACATATTTCAGCTTCAACTTTACTTTTACATAAAGATTCGCAGAATAACTTAATGTACAAAAATAATAAAACTGATCTATTTATTTTAAAAAATGTGGCAGCCCTAACCTCTCACTAAATATGGCAAATTTCACATCACGATCTGGTTTACACTGGATGTTGAATTTGCCAACACTAATTGCGAATTTCTTGTAGCTTGCAGCACTGCAAATCAATATGATTTAAATAAAAGAACCTTAGTTTAATGTAATATTAAAAATATACTTACGTAGACAAAGTTTATCCTAATTATTTTAATAAAAGTTTGGGAGCACTTGATTGTAGATCACTCACGCACGAAAAAATAACTGACAAAAATGACATCGAAATTACGTATAGGGTTTCCATAAATAATTTGTTGTTGTCATTTATAAATTCAATTTTGACATAAAGGCATCCATACCCTTAAAAAAACTATATTGAAGTCATTCTAAAGTGTTTTTGGTTATGGCAAAATTAGTAGCCATTTGGCAAAGACAGCAGATTTTACGGTAACTGATTTTTTTGATACTGTTCTTACCTGAAATCTATCACAATTAAATTAAATTTAAAATTAAATATTTTTTATTAGAACAAGAAACAGTAGGTATACGAATTTGCTTGTGTTCGAAAATAACCACATTAGTTATGAACTGTGTCGTGGTTATTATCGCCCACCTCCAGAAAGGTGCAGACAACGGCGTTCCAGGAATAATAAAGATAACTTAGTGACTATTATAAGTTATACAATACAAAAAGAAAAAGAGTATGTGAATGTGTGTGTGTGTTTGTGTGTGTATGTATGTCTGTGTGTGTGTCTTTATGTGTGTATTTACACACATATTTATATGACTTAGTAATTCGCGCATGCCAATTAATATAAGTATGTGTGAGTGGAAGGACTGGTGAAAGTTCAGTGATCTTCAACAACGATTCCAGTTCGTCATACGTGAAAGCAGCCAACCATTCGTCGGTAAGTTTCTTACATTCACGGGTAGAGTATGGATAAATATCAAGTACTCTATTGACTCTGTTGTACAAGAATGGAGCAAAGTATGAGTATTGACGACGAACAACTTCCAGTCTTGCAGTCCGAGGCGGGCATACCCGGTCAGATCGACGTTTACGCCTGTACAAATCGTGGTCAAAGGGTAACTCAGCATGTTTACGCAGAATCGTGTGCAATAGAAAGGAGTGCCTCACTGTAGGTATCTTGCATAAGGAGTACAATTCACTGGTCGGGAAACGTATAGGTTTGCGAGTCATGACCTTGAGTACTGCCCTCTGAGCTCTCTCTAAACGTAGCAAAAGACTCTTACCAGTGTTTCCCCATGCAGGCACACAGTAGGTAATAATTGAGTTGGCCAACGCAAAGTAGACCGTACGAAGAGTAGATAAATCTGCCGAACTTCTTAAATACATGGATGAGCTTGCGCACTCTAGATACTAGTGAGTCTATTTGATAACTCCATGACAATGTACTGTCGATGTAAACGCCAAGATATTTAATTGCTTCAGTGCATGTGATTGTGGTCCAATTACAGGCGCTATCCGTAGCAGAGCCACATTTGTGGGCTGTCAAATGTTCAAGAGCAGATGGTTGTGATGTAAGTTTTGGGCTAAACGTTATAAATTTTGTTTTGCTAAAATTGAGAGTGAGCCGATTATGATTCAGCCAATTAATCGTGGTCCTTAAAGCAGATTCAGCAATCAAGCATGCTTCACTCCAATCACTGCCTCGCAGTAATATAACCGTATCATCGGCGTAAGTGATAATATTGGCGTTCGGCAGATTGAGCCTACATAGATCGTTGATGTAAAGTAAGAAAAGGGTGGGTCCAAGCACACTACCCTGTGGAACTCCGTAATTTAGGAACTTTTCTTTGCTGCTGTAATTATTTATTTTGACAATTTGAGTGCGATTACTTAGGTAACTCTTGAAAATATCAAGCGCAAGGCCTCGAACACCGATCAATTCCAGTTTCTTGATTAGGCGGGGAACAGAGACAGTGTCAAATGCTTTTGAGAGATCAAGAAAGATAGCTAGTGTCTTATAATTTTTATTAAGGTTTTGCGCCACAGAATCCAACAAAGACAAAACTGCATCTTCAGTGTTTTTATCAGCTCTGAAACCATATTGATTTTTGGCTAGTATGTTATTTGAATTGAGATAGTCTAAAAGTCGTTTATTCAAAAAAAATTCAAGCAATTTGGAAAATATAGTTAAGACCGAAATGGGTCTGTAGTTATTGACACTGCCTCTGTCCCCGCCCTTATGGATAGGGTGCACCAGGGCTCTCTTGAAGACTACGGGGGAACACTCCTGATGTCAAAACAAGATTGAAAACATGGCAGATGATTGGTATAAGAATATTTCTGGCAGAGTTCACCAGAGTTACGGATATACCATCCCAACCCGAAGCGGTATTTAACTTAAGGCTGACAATAAGTCCTTCAATCTCACTATAATCTGTATTGAAGATAGCCATGGAGTTAGGGCAAACATGCTCAGATATGCCCACATTGTCTTCATGCATTTGATTGTCTATTTCACATTGGCGAAGTATTCATTTACAACGTCGATCGACTGAGACGGGTTAGACTTGATGGACAAAAGCTCATTAGGCGGCGCTTTATTGGTATTAAAATTAGAAATAACCTTAATGAGTTTCCAAGTGGCCTTAGGGTTCTGACGATTCTTCTCAAATTCAGTTTTTTCGTACTGTCGTTTCAATTTTTTAAGAAGGTTGTTACAGAAATTTCTGTAGCGGACGTAAGTAATTTTGATGGTTTCGTTAGCATCGCCTTTTTTGGTTTTGAGATACATTTTGTCTCGGTTTCGCATACACTTTAGAATTCCAGGTGTGATCCAAGGCTTGATGATTCGTTTTCTACTTGGCACATTGGAAAACCTACTACTCACGTCAACAACCGAGGATATGATGTTAACTAGATTAGATGCAGCGGTATCTGCGTCTTGACAATTTAATACAGGTGAAAAATCTGTGCTATTAAGCATATCTACACAGGCTCCAATATCCACATTTCGTCGTCGTATAGATGTATGGTTGTAAATACTATTTAGACCAATATTACAAAAAGCTAGAGCATGGTCCGTAATCAGAGACTCAAGAACTAAGCTTATATCTTGCTTATTTGATTTTATCATCACGTGATCTAAACAACTATCGTTCCGAGTAGGATACACGTGGGCTGACATCATAGCATGAGATGCCATGGTGTTTAAGTACATGTCTGTATTTGGGTCCATACAATCGGGAGCTATATTTATATTAAGGTCCCCCACTAAAACAATCGTTCTAAAGCTATTGAGGGTATGAAGTATCAAATCTAAGCTCGTTATAAAATTTTGTACATTACGATTGGCAGGAGACCTGTAAACTGCCACAACTACAATATCATTGCGATATTTTAGAACAAGACAATTGGCCTCAATCAAAGTTGGATTTCCAATTATAAATTGTATGTCTTGCCTTGAATTTACAACCACTCCATCATTTTGGCTAGAATGATCAGAAACAAATGTTACAAAACCGGGTAGAGTGGGTAAATTAGGACATTTACGAAGCAAACATTTCGAAAGGACTATTATATCAAACTGTACTTTAATACGATGTAGCAATAAGATAAGGTTGTTAAAGTTTAAGCAGCTGCCAATACTTCTAATATTCATGTGAAAAATTTTAAAACTGTAACTGGTCTCACGTAGGAAGTAAGTAACTCGTTCGGGAGAACAACGGTGTGACGTATGTGACGTATATATATAGTTGTTCAATGTCTGTGCAGCAGGAGATTGATTAAAACAATCATAGAGAGTACTTAAATCATTTAATTAAATTGATACTACTTATACTGCATCCTTACAACCTTAATAGCGCGATGCAGAAATTGACAAACAGTTGACAACGCCATCTAGCGCGTGTACTAACTAACTAGGACTAGGCATGGGCTTGAACATACCGCCCACCATGGACAAAATGTCCAGAACTTATAAAATAAAAACAAATACATAACAAAACTTATATAATAACTTAATAATAACTTAACCATAAGCAATAATATTAAAATATTTAAGTGGTAACAGGCAACACAATCAATTTAGATACAGGTCTCTTTATTATAGATCCCTTGCAACGTAGGGAAACGACCCTCATGATCTTGTCCGAGCCAGCATGTTTCTTTACTATGAGACCGTAGAGCCACCTTGAGGGAGGTAAATCGTCCTCCATTATTAACTCCACGTCACCCACATTAGGTTCCACGGATTGATGTGCCCATTTGTGCCTCTGATGAAATTGTACAAGATATTCACGAGACCATTTGCGCCAGAAGCCTTGAACTAGGCGTTGACTCAATTTCCAGCGTTTTAATGTGCTGAGATTAGAATTTTCATAATTCACTTCGGGTGCGAGCAACACAGGTTCTCCTATCAGAAAATGACCCGGTGTCAATGGGCATGGATCATCAGGATGAGTGCTGATAGCGGAAATGGGTCTAGAGTTTAAGCAGGCCTCTATTTGGGCCAGCACTGTACTCAGTTCCTCAAAGGTAAGTGTGCTGTACTGATTATTCTTTTGAGGTGAAATTTGGTTGACTTCACCCCGGCCTCCCAAATCCCTCCAAAGTTTGGAGCGTGAGGTGGGATAAATTGCTAGCTTGTTCCATTGGTTGCTAACCAATCGGCTAATTCAGGTGCTACAACGGACCTTTGATGCGTAAGCAATGCCTTCAACTCCTTGTTAGCTCCTACGAATGTGGTGCCGTTGTCACTCCACAACTCGTTACACTGCCCTCTACGGGCTGTAAAACGTTTAAACGCTGCTAAAAAGGCCTGCGATGTCATGTCAATGTCGCTAACAACTTCCAAGTGGATGGCCCGAGTGGCCATGCACACAAACAAACAAATGTAGCCTTTGGTTGAATGATGACCACGTCCCCTTGCCGACCTAACGCTAATGGGACCTGCGTAGTCAACACCACTCCTAGAAAATGGTCGGCTGGCATTGACTCTAACAGAAGGCAACGACCCCATTAATGGAAATGTAGACCGAGCGGAGTATCGCATGCAGACATCGCACCTTCTGATGTATTGTTTAACAACGCTCTTTGCACTTACTATCCAAAACTTGGATCTTAAATAATTGAGAGCCAACTGAGGTCCACCATGCAAGGTACGCTCATGTGCATCTACTATTATAAGATGAGTCAAGTAAGACTTACAGGGAAGTATGATAGGATGCTTAGCGTCTTCGTGGAGGTTGGCCTTCTGCAACCTGCCGCCAACTCTCAAAACTTGTTCGTGATCCAAGTAAGGATTGAGCGAGGTAAGTGCCCCCTTTTTATCTAGTTCTCCCCTTGACATTAAAGTATCTATTTCAGATCCAAAATATTAACTCTGACAAATTCTTACACAGGTGAGTAATGCGCCTTGAATTTCCTTAGGTGATAGGAGATTATTACATTTTGACTTCGCTTTATTTTGATTTTGCTTTTTTTAAATTTCAGGAACCGTTTACAATAGGCTATTACTTGGGTAAGTTTCCTCAGAGATGAATACTTGGTAAATATAGAATCCTCACTCGATTCTTTTACTACAGCATTGCATGTAACTATTGACTTTCTTTTCTCAAGGTTGGTCACTTTAATTTCTCTCCTACTATAATTAATATCTTTATTTTTCAGCCAACTAGGTCCTTGGATCCACAGCTCAAGATCGGCGTGTTCAGAAGGACTCACACCACGTGAAGCGCAGTCTGCGGGGTTTTCCTTGGACTGGACATGTGACCATTGCCTGTTCTCCATGGTGGTAAGTATATCAGATACTCGATTCCCTACAAATGTTTTCCAGCGGCTGGGGTGACTACTCAACCAGGCGAGAACTACTGTTGAGTCAGTCCAGGCATGATTATTTTCCTTACAGATGCCTAAGGTGCCCGAAACTTCATGGAAAAGTTTTGCGAGAAGAACAGCACCACATAATTCCAAACGAGGAATGGATACCTGTTTGACAGGGGCTACCTTAGTTTTAGATGCGACTAGACTGACATGAACAACACCATTGGAATCAATGCAACGACTATAAACCACAGCCGCGTAAGCGACGTTAGAGGCGTCGCAAAACCCGTGGAGTTCCAGCAGAACATCATGTTGACTCGTCTGAATCCATCGTGGTATGTGGAACTTCTTTAGCTCATGAAGGCTGTTTCTGTAACTTAACCATTCTGGAAGCTCCTCATCCCAGTCGGATCCTGCTAACCATAGACGCTGAATGAAGACTTTGGCTGTTATTATCACTGGCGCAAGCCAGCCAAGAGGATCGAATAAACGAGCGATATCTGAGATCACCTTGCGCTTGGTTATGGGAATTTCAAGTGGAGGAAGTTGGACGGTATAATTAAACTGATCTAAATTTTTATCATAAGTTAAACCTAATATCTTAGAAAGTGTATCACTGTTGAGGTCTAAATTATCTCTTTCACTAGTTTCAACATTTATCTTATTCAATAACTCATTACTATTGCTAGACCACTTCTGAAGCTGGAAACCCCCCTGGCCTAACAACTTATTCATCTGGTGATAAATTTGTTCACCTTCCGCAACTGATTGACAACCAGTTAACAGGTCATCAACATAGAAATCGTTACGGACAATGTCTGCCACTAAGGGAAAATTCTGTCCTTCATCACGAGCCAATTGTTGCAGCGTTCGGACCGCTAGGTATGGTGCGGAGGATATACCAAAAGTAACTCGGAACAGCCGAAGATGTTGCACTTCTGCTTCTGGACTATCACGCCATAAAATGCGCTGATAATCAACATCTTCATTTGCTACCCTAACTTGACGGTACATTTTGATTATGTCTGCTACTAGACATATAGGGTGACATCGCCACCGCATAATTGTTTGACGCAAATCAAACTGTAGGGTTGGGCCAACCATTAATTCTTTGTTCAATGATACACCGTTATAGCCTGTACAAGAAGCGTCAAAGACGACCCTAACCTTGGTAGTGCGTTTATCTTCACGAACCACCGCGTGGTGTGGTAGATAGAATGCATCATTATGTAATTCTACCTGCGGAACAATTTCAGCGTGACCCAGCTGAATATATTCATTAATGACAGCGTTATACTGGTTCTTGAGTTTTGGCTCCTTCAACAATCGTTTTTCTAGGTTTAGAAATCGCCTACGAGCAATGATCTCTGAACCACCAGCGGTGCAACGGGGCTGATTGGTTTTGAATGGTAGTTTTACTACATAACGCCCTGTTGTATCACGTTTGGTTGTACTGGAGTAGAAGTCTTCACACTTTTGTTCTTCTTCTGTCAAGATAACTGTCTTGACCGAAGGCTCCGACTCCAACTCCCAAAATTTATGAAGGAGATCATTGACGTCTGGTGCTACCACCGTGTGATAACACATAGGCCTAGAAACTGCAGACGATTGAATCTCACCCGATAGGATCCATCCCAATTCAGTGTTTTGAGCGATTGGCGTTCCAGCAGGACCCTTAACTAGGCCCTCTAATAACACTTCGCGAACTACCCGAGTCCCTAATAACAAATCTATTTTTCCAGGTGTATGGAATGATGGGTCAGCGAGTTGTAAACTTGAAATGGATGGTGAAACCTTAATAATCCTTTTATCGGGAAGATGATTTGTGAGCTTTTTTAATACGTAGGCATCAACGACTAAACTAAAATCGGGATTAAGGCGAGACTGCAATTTGAACGTCACGACTTACCTAGAGGGCACTGCACTACCCTCGTCATCGCCTAATCTGTGTATACCTGTGTGAGTGGGTCTTTTGCGTAGTCCTAAGAACTGAACTGCGGCCTCAGTGATAAATGAGGCCTGAGAGCCCTGATCTAACAGCGCTCTTAAAACCTCAGTAGTTTCAGTTCTCGACTCCACATGGACTAGAGCTGTAGCTAGTAGCCCATGGTTATAACAAATGGGGTTGGTACTCTCCCTTTGAATAGATGAAACGGCTGCGGT